AGTGGTGTTACCTGGGAGTAACACAGGTCTAATGACAGAGTGTTAGTGGTGTTACCTGGGAGTAACACAGGTCTAATGACAGAGTGTTAGTGGTGTTACCTGGGAGTAACACAGGTCTAATGACAGAGTGGTAGTGGTGTTACCTGGGAGTAACACAGGTCTAATAACAGAGTGTTATTGGTGTTACCTGGGAGTAACACAGGTCTAATGACAGAGTGTTAGTGGTGTTACCTGGGAGTAACACAGGTCTAATGGCAGAGTGTTAGTGGTGTTACCTGGGAGTAACACAGGTCTAATGACAGAGTGTTAGTGGTGTTACCTGGGAGTAACACAGGTCTAATAACAGAGTGTTAGTGGTGTTACCTGGGAGTAACACAGGTCTAATAACAGAGTGTTAGTGGTGTTACCTGGGAGTAACACAGGTCTAATGACAGAGTGTTATTGGTGTTACCTGGGAGTAACACAGGTCTAATGACAGAGTGTTAGTGGTGTTACCTGGGAGTAACACAGGTCTAATGACAGAGTGTTATTGGTGTTACCTGGGAGTAACACAGGTCTAATGACAGAGTGTTAGTGGTGTTACCTGGGAGTAACACAGGTCTAATGACAGAGTGTTATGGTGTTCCTGGGAGTAACACAGGTCTAATAACAGAGTGTTAGTGGTTTTACCTGGGAGTAACACAGGTCTAATGACAGAGTGTTATTGGTGTTACCTGGGAGTAACACAGGTCTAATAACAGAGTGTTAGTGGTGTTACCTGGGAGTAACACAGGTCTAATGACAGAGTGTTAGTGGTGTTACCTGGGAGTAACACAGGTCTAATGACAGAGTGTTATTGGTGTTACCTGGGAGTAACACAGGTCTAATAACAGAGTGTTAGTGGTTTTACCTGGGAGTAACACAGGTCTAATGACAGAGTGTTATTGGTGTTACCTGGAGTAACACAGGTCTAATGACAGAGTGTTAGTGGTGTTACCTGGGAGTAACACAGGTCTAATGGCAGAGTGTTAGTGGTGTTACCTGGGAGTAACACAGGTCTAATAACAGAGTGTTAGTGGTGTTACCTGGGAGTAACACAGGTCTAATAACAGAGTGTTAGTGGTGTTACCTGGGAGTAACACAGGTCTAATGACAGAGTGTTAGTGGTGTTACCTGGGAGAACACAGGTCTAATGACAGAGTGTTAGTGGTGTTACCTGGGAGTAACACAGGTCTAATAACAGAGTGTTAGTGGTGTTACCTGGGAGTAACACAGGTCTAATAACAGAGTGTTAGTGGTGTTACCTGGGAGTAACACAGGTCTAATAACAGAGTGTTAGTGGTGTTACCTGGGAGTAACACAGGTCTAATGACAGAGTGTTAGTGGTGTTACCTGGGAGTAACACAGGTCTAATGACAGAGTGTTAGTGGTGTTACCTGGGAGTAACACAGGTCTAATACAGAGTGTTAGTGGTGTTACCCTGGGAGTAACACAGGTCTAATGACAGATTGTTATTGGTGTTACCTGGGAGTAACACAGGTCTAATGACAGAGTGTAGTGGTGTTACCTGGGAGTAACACAGGTCTATGGACAGAGTGTTAGTGGTGTTACCTGGGAGTAACACAGGTCTAATAACAGAGTGTAGTGGGTGTACCTGGGAGTAACACAGGTCTAATGACAGAGTGTTATTGGTGTTACCTGGGAGTAACACAGGTCTAATGACAGAGTGTTAGTGGTGTTACCTGGGAGTAACACAGGTCTAATAACAGAGTGTTAGTGGTGTTACCTGGGAGTAACACATGTCTAATAACAGAGTGTTAGTTGGTGTTACCTGGGAGTAACACAGGTCTAATAACAGAGTGTTAGTGGTGTTACCTGGGAGTAACACAGGTCTAATAACAGAGTGTAGTGGTGTTACCTGGGAGTAACACAGGTCTAATAACAGAGTGTTAGTGGTGTTACCTGGGAGTAACACAGGTCTAATAACAGAGTGTTAGTGGTGTTACCTGGGAGTAACACAGGTCTAATGACAGAGTGTTATTGGTGTTACCTGGGAGTAACACAGGTCTAATGACAGAGTGTTAGTGGTGTTACCTGGGAGTAACACAGGTCTAATGGCAGAGTGTTAGTGGTGTTACCTGGGAGTAACACAGGTCTAATAACAGAGTGTTAGTGGTGTTACCTGGGAGTAACACAGGTCTAATAACAGAGTGTTAGTGGTGTTACCTGGGAGTAACACAGGTCTAATGACAGAGTGTTAGTGGTGTTACCTGGGAGTAACACAGGTCTAATGACAGAGTGTTAGTGGTGTTACCTGGGAGTAACACAGGTCTAATAACAGAGTGTTAGTGGTGTTACCTGGGAGTAACACAGGTCTAATAACAGAGTGTTAGTGGTGTTACCTGGGAGTAACACAGGTCTAAACAGAGTGTTAGTGGTTACCTGGGAGTAACACAGGTCTAATAACAGAGTGTTAGTGGTGTTACCTGGGAGTAACACAGGTCTAATGACAGAGTGTTAGTGGTTTACCTGGGGAGTAACACAGGTCTAATAACAGAGTGTTAGTGTGTTAACCTGGGAGTAACACAGGTCTAATGACAGAGTGTTAGTGGTGTTACCTGGGGAGTAGTAGTAACACAGGTCTAATGGACAGAGTGTTAGTGGTGTTACGTGGGAGTAACACAGGTCTAATGACAGAGTGTTAGTGGTGTTACCCCTGGGAGTAACACAGGTCTAATGACAGAGTGTTTAGTGGTGTCACCTGGGAGTACACAAAGGTCTAATGACAGAGTGTTTAGTGGTGTTACCTGGGAGTAACACAGGTCTAATGACAGGTGTTAGTGGTTTTACCCCTGGAGTAGTAACACAGGTCTAATACAGAGTGTTATTGGTTGTTACCTGGGAGTAACACAGGTCTAATAACAGAGTGTTATTGGTGTTACCTGGGAGTAACACAGGTCTATGACCGAGTGTTAGTGGTGTTACCTGGGAGTAACACAGGTCTAATGACTAGGGTTAGTGGTGTTACCTGGGAGTAACACAGGGTCTAATGACAGAGTGTTAGTGGTGTTACCTGGGAGTAACACAGGTCTAATAACAGAGTGTTATTGGGTGTTACCTGGGAGTAAACACAGGTCTAATGACAGAGTGTTAGTGGTGTTACCTGGGAGTAACACAGGTCTAATGACAGAGTGTTAGTGGTGTTACCTGGGAGTAACACAGGTCTAATGACAGAGTGGTAGTGGTGTTACCTGGGAGTAACACAGGTCTAATAACAGAGTGTTATTGGTGTTACCTGGGAGTAACACAGGTCTAATAACAGAGTGTTAGTGGTGTTAACTGGGAGTAACACAGGTCTAATGACAGAGTGTTAGTGGTGTTACCTGGGAGTAACACAGGTCTAATGACAGAGTGTTAGTGGTGTTACCTGGGAGTAACACAGGTCTAATGACAGAGTGTTAGTGGTGTTACCTGGGAGTAACACAGGTCTAATGACAGAGTGTTAGTGGTGTTACCTGGGAGTAACACAGGTCTAATGACAGAGTGTTAGTGGTGTTACCTGGGAGTAACACAGGTCTAATAACAGAGTGTTAGTGGTGTTACCTGGGAGTAACACAGGTCTAATAACAGAGTGTTAGTGGTGTTACCTGGGAGTAACACAGGTCTAATGACAGAGTGTTAGTGGTGTTACCTGGGAGTAACACAGGTCTAATAACAGAGTGTTAGTGGTTTTACCTGGGAGTAACACAGGTCTAATGACAGAGTGTTATTGGTGTTACCTGGGAGTAACACAGGTCTAATGACAGAGTGTTAGTGGGTTTACCTGGGAGTAACACAGGTCTAATGACAGAGTGTTAGTGGTGTTACGTGGGGAGTAACACAGGTCTAATGACAGAGTGTTATTGGTGTTACCTGGGAGGTAACACAGTCTAATGACAGAGTGTTAGTGGTGTTACCTGGGAGTAACACAGGTCTAATGACAGAGTGTTAGTGGTGTTAACTGGGAGTAACACAGGTCTAATGACAGAGTGTTATTGGTGTTACCTGGGAGTAACACAGGTCTATAATAACAGAGTGTTATTGGTGTTACCATGGGAGTAACACAGGTCTAATGACAGAGTGTTATTGGTGTTAACTGGGAGTAACACAGGTCTAATGACAGAGTGTTATTGGTGTTACCTGGGAGTAACACAGGTCTAATGACAGAGTGTTATTGGTGTTACCTGGGAGTAACACAGGTCTAATGACAGAGTGTTAGTGGTGTTACCTGGGAGTAACACAGGTCTAATAACAGAGTGTTAGTGGTTTTACCTGGGAGTAACACAGGTCTAATAACAGAGTGTTATTGGTGTTACCTGGGAGTAACACAGGTCTAATGACAGAGTGTTAGTGGTGTTACCTGGGATTAACACAGGTCTAATGACAGAGTGTTAGTGGTGTTACCTGGGAGTAACACAGGTCTAATAACAGAGTGTTAGTGGTTTTACCTGGGAGTAACACAGGTCTAATGACAGAGTGTTAGTGGTGTTACCTGGGATTAACACAGGTCTAATGACAGAGTGTTAGTGGTGTTACCTGGGAGTAACACAGGTCTAATAACAGAGTGTTAGTGGTTTTACCTGGGAGTAACACAGGTCTAATAACAGAGTGTTATTGGTGTTACCTGGGAGTAACACAGGTCTAATGACAGAGTGTTAGTGGTGTTACCTGGGAGTAACACAGGTCTAATAACAGAGTGTTATTGGTGTTACCTGGGAGTAACACAGGTCTAATGACAGAGTGTTAGTGGTGTTACCTGGGATTAACACAGGTCTAATGACAGAGTGTTAGTGGTGTTACCTGGGATTAACACAGGTCTAATGACAGAGTGTTATTGGTAAAAAATAAAGAGCTTTTTCAACATTAAAGCATGAGTATAGACACTAAATACTGACCTCAGCCTGGACAAATGATGTCCTCTTTAAGATGTAAAAGCCAGTGTTCCCTGACTCTGTGTGTCCCCTCTGTCCCCCCCCCAGGAGGAGAAACCCTACATGTGTCCGTATGAAGGCTGCAAGCAAGCGCTACTCTAACTCCAGCGACCGCTTCAAACACACCCGGACTCACTATGTGGACAAACCGTACGGCTGCAAGATGTCCGGCTGCCTGAAGCGCTACACCGACCCCAGCTCGCTGCGCAAGCACATCAAGGCCCACGGGCACTTTGTGGCCCCGGGGCTAGGGGGCACAAAGTGCCGGCCGGGGGTGGGATTCCTGGGGCTACAGCAGGGTGAAGCGGCCCCTCTCAGCGGGGCCCATTTCCTCCTCCACGGGGCCTTTTTGGGGGGCTTCGGGGCGCCTCTTTCCGCTTACTGCCGCCTCGGCTGCATGGGGCCCCTCGGCCTCTCCGACTCCCCCCTGATACACTTCGGACTCTCGGCGGTGTCCATGCTGGGGCTGGGGGCTCTGGGGAGGGGGGTGTCGAACAGAGAGGAGGAAGAGGAGGAGGAAGAGCAAGAAGTGGAGGCGTTAAATCTGTCTGCAGGGGGGGGCCCCGGACTGAGGGACCCTCTGTCCTGGGTGCTGGTTCCCCAGAGTGCCCTGCTCCTCCAACCAGCTGTTGTTAGATAGGATGTGCAAGGTGCTCTTCCTGTGTGTGTGTGTGTGGTGTGTGTGTGTGTGTGTGTGTGTGTGTGTGTGTGTGTGTGTGTGTTGTGGTGTGTGTGTGTGTGTGTGTGTGTGTGTGTGTGTGTGTGTGGTGTGTGTGTGTGTGTGTGTGTGTGTGTGTGTGTGTGTGTGTGTGTGTGTGTGTGTGTGTGTGTGTGTGTGTGTGTGTGCTTGTGCGTGTGTGTGTGTTTTGAATGAACAACGCCTGAACACGACCTGAGTGTTGGGTTGCAAAAGTCTGACGCTTTAAAGGGTCAGTTCACTCAAATGAGAAAAAAGACTGTAAACATCACCACCGCTAAGCTAAAGGAGGCTAAGTTGGGCGTGATGACGTTTAGTCGTCTCATTTAGACTCTTGTTAGCAACCGCCGTTTTTAAATCCTCCAGTGGGGTGTTTTCTGACGTATTTTATGTGGTAGAACAAAACGTTAAAGTCTCTTCAGCTCGTGTTAACCACAGACCTTATTTCAGCATAACAACCAGAAACACATTCAGAGAACCATTGACCTCCAGACCCGGGGACAGGAAGTGAGGAAATGCTGAGTCACTTCAGGGTTTAGAGGCGGATATCTAAACGAGAGGAAACCTCCTCTGTCTGCATGGCTTGATAACGCTTCAGTGAAATGAGGTGAACTGACCCTTTAATATGTTTTTACCTTTCCATTTATCTACACTTTAACTTCCTGGACAATCCCCTGAATTAGATGCTCTAACGCAGGTCAGGAAAGAGCAGACGCACTAACCATTTTCTACTTTTAACGTTTGACAATCCTCTCTAACTGATGACGAGGAGCAACGAGAAATAAAGTCCGTACACATAATTCAATGTACCATTAGACTTCTTTAAAACCTGCCAACAACACATCAGTCTGGATGTTTCCTTCAGGCAAAGCTTGTGCATTTAAAGGTGGGGTAGGTAAGTTTTGAGAAACCAGCTCGAGTGGCTAGAATTTGAAAATACACAGCCGGAACAAATCTACCACTTCCTCACAGAGCCCCTCCTCCAACACACACGAACGCGCACTTGACCAATGAGGGCACGAGATCAGTTTGTGCACAGATGGAAGGCTGACAGGCAGGTAGGCCATCCAGTTACTTTAGCCGGCTCAGATGATTGGTCGTGCTTTCTACAGCTACGGCTTCCACAGATGACATATTCATTGCTATCAGGATGTTAAGAGCATTCCATGGAATATAACAAAAAGTGTATCTCGAGCCGGTTTCTCAAACTTACCTACCCCACCTTTAATGGCTTACATTTCAAAATGAGATATAAATCTTTTGAATATCTGACAGCAACTCCCACACAATGGAGCCACACATTTCTGTGGTTATTTGAATACACTGTTTACAGCAGGGGTGTCAAACTCAAGGCCCGGGGGCCAAATCCGGCCCGCGACCTCATTTTATGTGGCCCGCAAGAGCTTGCAAAGAATACAATATACAATACAAGTGGTGTAATTGTTGAATATTTGCTTTCAATGATTTGCCCTAGACTTCTGCTTTCAGACGTAGTTATTTAGGAAGATATTACCAGAACTGATAATAATCCAATGCAGGGCCAACAATGTAATATAATACATTATTTAATATATATTATATATTTATATAAATTACAACCGGCCCTTTGAGTGCAACCATAATGCTGATGTGACCCGGAATGAAATTGAGTTTGACCCCCCTGGTTTACAGGGTATTTATCTGTTGCTCTGGTTTGAATCTGACAGTACTGCAGTACATTTACTCCACTTTGCTGGAGTATTTCACTTAATGCTGCTTCACTATGTTCTACAAGTACTCAGATCCTTTACTTCAGTACAATTACTAATATCTCAGACTGAAAATACAGCAAGTAAAAGCCCTGATGTCAAGTAGAAGCATGCAAGTATCGGCAGCAAAATGTATTTAAAGTTTCAAAAGTACTCAATATGCAAAATGTGTCTGTTTTTACAGAATAGTTTAATGTTCAGTTATTATCACAAATACTGTACGTAAAACAGTTTTTTTTAAATGACGTGATAAAGTTAAGGTACTTGGTATAATTTTCAGTATATCTGAGGTTATTTCTGTAATAGTGTAAAAATAATAATATCTCCCTCTGACATTCAGTAGAAGTTAAGTCAGAAAATAAAATACTAAGATAAACTAAAAAAGTACCTACATTTACTTACAGTACAGTACTTAAAGTTACATTCAACTGGCCAATATGCATAAGGAGCACTTTAAGTACATTTTGCAGCCATTGTGCATTTTTCCTAAAGAGTGCAGGACTTTTACTCGTAACAGAGTATTTTTTACACTTTAGTGGCTACTTTAACTCATATCTGAGCACTCTGCATTATGTCATTTAAAAAGGATGGTGTTGGGTTAAAGAGGCCCTGAACATCAGTAGGAGAGGACTCTTTAAAGTAGAGACACTACATACTGATATACACCTGAACATCAGCAGGAGAGGACTCTTTCAAGTAGAGACACTACATATTGATATACACCTGAACATCAGCAGGAGAGGACTCTTTAAAGTAGAGACACTACATACTGATATACACCTGAACATCAGCAGGAGAGGACTCTTTAAAGTAGAGACTCTACATACTGATATACACCTGAACATCAGCAGGAGAGGACTCTTTAAAGTAGAGACTCTACATACTGATATACACCTGAACATCAGCAGGAGATTACTCTTTAAAGTAGAGACACTACATACTGATATACACCTGAACATCAGCAGGAGAGGACTCTTTAAAGTAGATACACTACATACTGATATACACCTTAACATCAGCAGGAGAGGACTCTTTAAAGTAGAGACACTACATATTGATATACACCTGAACATCAGCAGGAGAGGACTCTTTAAAGTAGATACACTACATACTGATATACACCTTAACATCAGCAGGAGAGGACTCTTTAAAGTAGAGACACTACATACTGATATACACCTTAACATCAGCAGGAGAGGACTCTTTAAAGTAGAGACACTACATACACCTGAACATCAGCAGGAGAGGACTCTTTCAAGTAGAGACACTACATATTGATATACACCTGAACATCAGCAGGAGAGGACTCTTTAAAGTAGAGACACTACATACTGATATACACCTGAACATCAGCAGGAGAGGACTCTTTAAAGTAGAGACACTACATACTGATATACACCTTAACATCAGCAGGAGAGGACTCTTTAAAGTAGAGACACTACATACTGATATACACCTGAACATCAGCAGGAGAGGACTCTTTAAAGTAGAGACACTACATATTGATATACACCTGAACATCAGCAGGAGAGGACTCTTTAAAGTAGATACACTACATACTGATATACACCTTAACATCAGCAGGAGAGGACTCTTTAAAGTAGAGACACTACATACTGATATACACCTTAACATCAGCAGGAGAGGACTCTTTAAAGTAGAGACACTACATATTGATATACACCTGAACATCAGCAGGAGAGGACTCTTTAAAGTAGATACACTACATACTGATATACACCTGAACATCAGCAGGAGAGGACTCTTTAAAGTAGAGACACTACATACTGATATACACCTGAACATCAGCAGGAGAGGACTCTTTAAAGTAGAGACACTACATACTGATATACACCTGAACATCAGCAGGAGAGGACTCTTTACAGTAGAGACACTACATATTGATATACACCTGAACATCAGCAGGAGAGGACTCTTTTAAAGTAGATACACTACATACTGATATACACCTGAACATCAGCAGGAGATGACTCTTTAAAGTAGAGACACTACATACTGATATACACCTGAACATCAGCAGGAGAGGACTCTTTAAAGTAGAGACACTACATACTGATATACACCTGAACATCAGCAGGAGAGGACTCTTTAAAGTGGAGACACTACATACTGATATACACCTGAACATCAGCAGGAGAGGACTCTTTAAAGTAGAGACACTACATACTTATATACACCTGAACATCAGCAGGAGAGGACTCTTTAAAGTAGAGACACTACATACTGATATACACCTGAACATCAGTAGGAGAGGACTCTTTAAAGTAGAGACAATACATACTGATATACACCTGAACATCAGCAGGAGAGGACTCTTTAAAGTAGAGACACTACATACTGATATACACCTGAACATCAGCAGGAGAGGACTCTTTAAAGTAGAGACACTACATACTGATATACACCTGAACATCAGCAGGAGAGGACTCTTTAAAGTGGAGACACTACATACTGATATACACCTGAACATCAGCAGGAGAGGACTCTTTAAAGTAGAGACACTACATACTTATATACACCTGAACATCAGCAGGAGAGGACTCTTTAAAGTAGAGACACTACATACTGATATACACCTGAACATCAGCAGGAGAGGACTCTTTAAAGTAGAGACACTACATACTTATATACACCTGAACATCAGCAGAAGAGGACTCTTTAAAGTAGAGACACTACATACTGATATACACCTGAACATCACCAGGAGAGGACTCTTTAAAGTAGAGACACTACATACTGATATACACCTGAACATCAGCAGGAGAGGACTCTTTAAAGTAGAGACACTACATACTGATATACACCTGAACATCAGTAGGAGAGGACTCTTTAAAGTAGAGACAATACATACTGATATACACCTGAACATCAGCAGGAGAGGACTCTTTAAAGTAGAGACACTACATACTGATATACACCTGAACATCAGCAGGAGAGGACTCTTTAAAGTAGAGACTCTACATACTTATATACACCTGAACATCAGCAGGAGAGGACTCTTTAAAGTAGAGACACTACATACTGATATACACCTGAACATCAGTAGGAGAGGACTCTTTAAAGTAGAGACAATACATACTGATATACACCTGAACATCAGCAGGAGAGGACTCTTTAAAGTAGAGACACTACATACTGATATACACCTGAACATCAGCAGGAGAGTACTCTTTAAAGTAGAGACACACTGATATACACCTGAACATCAGCAGGAGACAGACCCGGCGTCATGGGTGGGCCC